ATAATATAATATAATAGAAAGGTTAGAAATACAGAATAATCTAATAATCCTAATCATGGCCCACACATCCTACAGTGGAGCCCCCAGTGCAGTGTTGCCGTTCCTAGTACATTTGTACTTTTCTGGTACATTTTGCCCTTTCCAGTAAATTGAAAGTACATTTAGATTTTTAGTACATTTTCAGTACATTATAATATTTCAAGTACCATTTACGGAACAGAATAATATTTCACGCCTTTAACGAAAAAATGAGAAAAAATGAGTTTAATAAAGTCTCACTAGTATCGGTGCTTGCTAATTTAAATTATCCAATCACAACATAGATAGTTGCACGTGTAAGTAGTCTTCTTTCACACGTTCAGTTCTCTGCACATTCTCATCAGGACCTTGACAAACTTTTTCATGCCACGTGGTCCAAACAATTCAACTCCGTCAAACTAAAATAATGGACATGTAAGAAAATCAATGATTTTCAACTTTTGTCATCAATAATATCAAAATATCCGTTAAATCAGAATCAAATTATTACAGAAAATAGTTTTGAAATTGTACGAGTATAAATAATATAAATACTTTTATATTATTTTCTACCACTATAATTTAATCCTTAAATTATGAACTTCGATTTTAGTAATCGTAGTAAAAAAAATAAGGGTTAATGTTACGTGTGGTTCCAAAATGGCCGCGCTTCCGACTGTTCCAAGGTCTATATAAGAAGGTCAGGACACGCGTGATGTACTTCTTGGGCTGACATTTTGGGGTTTTTTGAGTTGCATGTTTTAAGCAAACTTGTACGAGCAGTCAGTCTTATATGACATTAATTAAACTAAAATTGCATAAATTATGTAATTTCCAGTCAAAAATATAATAATAATTTCGGATGATTATGCAATCCCAATTTTATGTAACGTTTTCATCAAATAGTTTAAAAGAAACAAGCATCCTTATCTTTTGCTGTCATGATTGAAATTAATTAAATAGGTACTAAAACTGATGCAATTACGTATATACCACTTCGTAAAGTGATGCAATAACATCAAAAAAATTTAAAGTATAATAAAGAATAAAATAATATAATATAACAAATTTATAATTATTTTTTTAAAGCACGATTGGTTATAAAATTAATATGAAATTCAATAGTATTATTAATAAATGTTATCAATGTAATGCTCATTTTATAATAAACAATAGATGTGTAGATATATTTTTAATTTTAAATAGCTTTCAAAAAATTTCAAAAATAAAATTTAAAATTAAATTATTTGCCAATAAATTATATATATACATATACATACATACATACATATATATATATATATATATTACGTGCCTATATATATATAAGCACGTAAACAAAGTATTCCTAGAACTAGTACATTTTGAATGAAATTAGTACATTTTTGAAGGCGCTTCAGTACGTTTTGAAATTTCATTGCGGCAACACTGCTGCTGATCTTCACATGTGAAAGTACTGTACCCGAGTGTTCTGTGGATACCATGTCACTCATCTTCTGCTCAGCACTTGTTTACTGCAGTCTGTCATGCCAGAAAGGCCATGTAGAATTCTTCTGTACATAGTTTAGTTGTCTAGCATTAGTTTAGTTTTAGATTGTAGTTTAAAAAAAATTCCCATTTATATGTATCGGGTCCTCACGTATCATGTAATCTGTATTATTATATCATAGTAAGCTGATATTTACATTCTCTCTGCGTGTTAAAATCGTAATCTGTTCTTAATGTTATTGTGACATTGCAGTGTTCAAGGCTAGTTTATACCTATCCATAAGTAATGGGTTTTGCATTTTACTGTTACCGGACTATTCCTCGTAATTGTTAATAGTGTATAACGGTCTTGTCAACTTTTGTAATTTTGGTTATTAATAATTTCCGATGCAACGCTCTGAGGTCTTAATAACTTTCTTCAGCGTTACTTTTCCCCTTTTCCTTTATACTTTTCCCTTCAGAACCCTTCCTTCAACCCTTTCTTCACTCCTTTCTCTTCGTTGTGGGCTAAGTTTGCAAAAGCAGACAGCCCTTCCTCCTACTTTATTATTATTATTAGTCTGTCATGCCAGATCTTGTCTGTTTCTTACGTCTGTGAAAATGCTTATGCAAGCATTCAACATGATTGCATCCACCACGCGGAAAAGTTGCCAGATTGTGCAAGACTTGCTATCCATGTATTTTTTATTAAAATTTTTGTTTTGAGTTGTTCTTTTTGTCAGCAANTTTTGATGTTTTAGCTGGAGTCGGAGTCGGAGTCGGATGATAAGGAAAAGTCGGAGTTGGAGTCAGTAGATTTCTACGCGACTCCACAGCCCTGGTTTAATCACAAATAAAAATATCAAATTCTTGTAAATGCACACATTTTCCAGCAAAAATTACTGGCGTTTTAAACTTTAAAGTACTGTATAGAATTTCTACATACAAAAAAAAAAATGTAAATACAAATGGATTAAATTCGTTTAGAAGATATCTTAAAAGTCATTAATTCGTCTGAAATCTGAATTTATTTCAGACGAATTAATTTCAGAATTTCAGAAGAATTGGTGAAATTTACTGAAACGTCGGATAGTCGAAAAAAATTTTTGTATTTATTCTTAGAGCAATAAATTGGATATTGAAATTATATGTTCTTAATTACAAGATAGAGTAATAATATTCATAATTGTGAGAATTATCGTTTATAAGGACGACTAAATTGATAATATATGCAAATTACACGAAAAAAGCTAAACATCGATTAAAGGCAATATTAAAGTAAAGTAGGTAATCTGGGAGTCAGACAATTCTAAGAGTATGTCATTATTATGTATAACAATGTATTTATATTTCAATTTCAGTTCGTGCATTGGTTATATACTTCAGGATTTTTGTATGAATTTAAAATAAAGACTACACTTTCTGTCACAATTCAACATATTTTGGAGGGATTTCAATTGTGTAAGCACAGGAATTTATAGTTAACTTTATAATGCATAATTAGGATTTGGTACATGTTGAGTTGGCGGAAACCTGTGAATGGCATTTTTTATATTGGAAGACGATTAGATTAACTAGAAGACAATTTATTGAAATTAATTTGAGATGAAGACGTGCTAACATGAACGGTGGACTGAAATACTTGAGGTATATTTAATTTATACAATTATAAAATTGCAAATTTGAATATCTGAATGCTTTCATAAATTTATAGAAGTTAGACATCAACCGAATTAGGAAATAGCGTTTGTGTTTTATTATTTTGTTTCATATTGAACCTTAATTAATATGGAATTGTTTTTGTTTTCCTACATGTTTACATTACAAAAGTTAATATGTCAAACTATAATGACTTGGTGTTCATGATTGCATCAATGCTCACATAGATCAAAATAAAAATAAGATTTTTACACAAAGAAAAAAATCACATTTTCGATTTTATCTAATGATCTGATACTAATCTAATGATATGAAAGGAAATCATCGACTGCACTGTGATAAGCCAAAAATTGATTATATGCCAAGTGAGATCGCCAAGTGAAATTCCTCCTGGCAGTTCATGTACAGTATTGAATAGTGGCTGTTGTTTACATGTCAGACACGTGAAAAAACCCGAAAACTTCCACTCAACTATCCCGTTGTTCAGAAGCAAACATACAACTAAATATCAGTGTTCAGTGGTTTAAATCATTTGACAGAAATGTCAGTTTTCAAAATCTTAAATGTAATGGTTTGATAAAAAGAAAGCTTACTGGCCATTTATACCAAGATATTTCAAGTAAAATTACATTTGGTTTAAAAATGGATATCTTATTACTTAGTATCTTGTTTCATTTTGTCAAGATGTCATCAACAGTAAGGTCTTTCAGTAAATTAAAAATTTATGAAATTTAATGTGCGAGATGATATATCTTTAACTAGTTAATTTTACCAGTTGCTGCTTCAATTGCAATTAAAGTTTTGTAGATGAAAAAAGTCAAAGATTGAAATTTTAGTTCGGTGGATATTGGACGATATTCGTATCATTTATCTGTTAATACAATTATCAAAATACTGGTTGAAAATCTGATGAAATTGTTGCTTTTGTAATTTCTTTATGATTTTGTATTGTGTTTGTCACTTTGTTACTTTATTCTTAAACAAATAAATTTTATTTCTTTATAAGTTTTGTAGACGCTTTTAGAGCGTTATGTTAATATTAAATTATTTTATCATGAAAGGAACTATTAGTATATCTATCTGTAACATTTCGTAACAATTTAAAATAATTTAAAATTCGCCATTAAATAATTTTGTGTAAATTTAGTTTTCATCACGAATGAATAGGGGCTAGGGCCTGATTATTAAAACTCTGTTTTTCTTAAAGGACTACAATTTCTACTTATCCATTGTTACTAATATTTCGTCCGGAAGTGGACGAGTGGATAAGTTTACTAACACTGATAGTCGTGAGTTAGCACATCACCAGCAGACGCCACGAGATTTTTTCTGCGTTCACCTAACGCCTAAATACTGAACACTTTTCAATAGAAAGTCACCTCGAGGAGGCATTTCCTCACGAAATGCCTCCTCGAGGTGACTTTTTATTGAAAATGCGTACGAAATGCGAATTGGGCAAAAATGCGTAAGAAATGCATACGAAATGCGAAAATTGGGCAGATTGCCCAATTTTTGCATTTCGTACGCACAAAAGAAATGAATATTTGTTTGTTTGCATACGAACAACTTATATCCTTCTACCAATTGACACTCCATCTCAGTTGCATTCTTGAGAGACCATTGGGTTCTCGCGATTCAAAATATTATGTTCAATGATTGTTGTACTTACCGACGTCTCCCCATCCGACGGCAATTGCAGTTTTTGAATAAAGCGTTTTATCTTGAAGTGGTATAGCGATTGGTACCGGTTCTGGTTGAGTTAGACATAAGTCAGCAATATCATTTTCTAATATTATCAGAGCAATATCATTTCTCATTTTCTCTTTATCAAATTCTGGATGTTCAATTATCTTTGAAAACTGTATTATTTTTCCCGTATACTTGTTAGCACTTCCTATTCTTCCAAACAGAGCACCAACTGGAATTCTGTAATATATGAAAATTACAAATAAGGACAGAGGGGAAAAAAATAAACTTCAGGATTAAATTTTATGATACTAGGACGTTCAATAAGTAATGCACATAGGTCTTTTTCTTACTCAAGGTTTAATTTTTTGCAAATACAAATATACCGCATTATTCCCCAATTAATTGGCTGCAAGTACCCTTATTCCACATAGTCTCTATTTAAATCTACGGCTTTGCCACCTGGATGCCAGACCATGTATGCCAGTTCGGTACTACTCAGTTGGCCTCTCTCTCGGCCACTTCCTGACGTCTTCTGTCATTTTCTCATCGTTGTCATATTGCTTTTCTCTGATGGCATTTTTCAGGGAGCCAAACAAATGGAAGTCAGAAGATGCAAGATCCGGGCTGTAGGGTGGGTGAGGAGAGGTAGTCCATCCAAGATTTGTGATCTCTTGATGTGTGACCTCGTGTTATCGTGTTGAAGGAGAATTTGGTTAACATTTTTATGGGGTGAACACGCCTAAATCGTCTTTTCAACTTCTTCAGGGTGTTGATATAAATCCCTGAGTTTATTGTTTCACTGGGTGGCAATCTGTCAATCAGAATCACACCTTCACAATTTCAGAACACTGTGGCCATAATCTTATTAGCTGAGGGTCCTGATTTGAACCTTTTCTTTCTAGGGGAATTTTTGTGAAGCCAATTCATGGATTGTCGTTTGGTGTCAGGTTCAAAATGGTGAATCCGTGTCTCATCTACTCTGGCAATCTTGGATAAGAAATGTTTATCAGCTACATGATGTTCAAGCAACTCTTCATAAATGGTCCTCCTATACTCCTATTTTCAGTTAGGCACGTAGAGATCCACTTGGCACAAACCTTTGAACAACCTAAGTGGTGGATAATTGTGTTGATACTGCCCACCCACAGCGATGCCTAGTTGAGCAGCAAATTGTTTGGTTGTTACTTGCCTGTTCTCTTGAATAAGCCTATTATCGTGTTGAACCGTCTCTGGAGTCACAGCAGCATGTGGCCATCCCCAGCGTGGAAGATCTGAGAGTCTTGCTTTACCTTGTTCTGTCCTTGAGACTCTGCTAACCTAACGACTGACAGTACTCCTATTCACTGCTTCATCCCCATAGACATGTAACCATTTCTGAATGTTTCAGATAGTCTCGTACGCCGCAAAAAGAAATTTAATCACAGCTCTCTACTTGTACTTGTCTCAAGTGCAGCTGCTATTTTAAAACTAAGCTACGCTACAACCACCTAACGGAATTAACGAAAACTTTGTGCTGTTATACAACAATTGTTATTTTAACAATTGTTGTATAACTTTGCATAACGTATTTTATACGTTGTGCAAAGTTTCGTTTAATTTTAATGAAAGGCAGCCGAGAAATAAAATCATGTGCATTACTTATTGAACGGCCCTTGTATATAGCATTTTCGCTTAGATTTAATGCAATTCTGAAACACTGCTTGACCATTTGCAATTGGATATTATAATTGCAATTTATTTATGTAAATATTTAAAGAAGAAAGGCCATAAATAATCGATAAGGAATTCGTATCACACATATTATTCTGCAGAAAGAACAATATTAATACATAGAAAAAGAATTGTCTTATTTTCTATTTGTAATACAACTTCCAAAAAACATCCGCATAAATGTCTGTAATGTTAAAGTTTCTCTTAAATTTCTTGATATATGGCTGAAATATCTGTTGTAATCAGCAGCTGTTACTGTGTTAACAGATTGTTCGATTAAATTATTACAAAAGTTGCTTCTAGCCCTTGATATAATAATATTAATTAAATTAAATTATCCACAACCGTGAGGCAGATAATAGTGAGGGCTTATCAGACCAAATGATGGGCACAAACGCTCAGAGATCAAAGTGAAAACAATTTAATAAACTCAAAAAGTTACTACATAAGTGTGAAAACGAAAACCCAAAATGCATTTCGGACTATTTCCTAATAGAAAACAGTTCCTCATCAGTTGGTATTAAAGGTAATGACATAATAGAATTATACAAGGTAACGGTCAACTTAAAACTAAGCCTAAAGTTATACAATATATAAGTAAGCATCATCAGTAGGTATTATCTAAAGTAGGTGGTATATTAAAAATTATACAAAGTAAGGTAAACTTAAAAACTATGCCTAAAACTATACAATATAAAGGTGAAGATGCCAATATAACAGTATGAGCAGTAGGCAATATCAGTGTAGACAGGTGTAATAAATCTTCATGACCTTGCATGGTGGGATGACATATAGGGTGCTGATACAAAACAGTTATAAGTTAGACAATAATTAGTTAACACTAATGGACTAAAGTTATACGGGCAGGTAATGTACATACCAAAAAAGGTAAGACGACAGAGTAGCAGGTGCCAGCTTACCACAAGGTGCTGGGAGTGGTAATGAGAGAGAGGTGTGTGTCAGTCCACATCTGGTGTACAAGTGGCGACAACATGTGATTGTTCGATGACATTTATAACATCCTCTTGTCCCGAAAGTAGTACCTAGGATTGGCCTCGCTGTGTTTTTAATTTTAGAAATTTAAAAAATATTCCATCAATTTAAAACATGTTGATATATTAAATTGATGGGATGTACAGTATATGAAAATTGTTACTAAGATATTGTAAATTGTTTTTATCTACAGTTTAAAAACGCAGTATGTCAATGAACTTTATGATTTTGCAATGAAAGTAAGTCGAATGTGTTTGAATTCTGTTAAAGTCACAAAAAGTGGTTTAACCAGTTGTGCCTAAACTATATCTCAACCACATCGGTTCGAACATATTTCACACATTACTTGTAAATGATAGAAATAGACTTACTTTGAATTTACGAGTATATAAAATATAAAAGATATTTATGTCCCGCTTCGACTACAAATTCTATGCACTTTAGCATAATTAAAATGTCCAGGCACAAGTGATATCAGCTATTGGAAATATTATTAATTATTGTTTATTATTTTCCTCGATTAATAATTGTGATATTATTGTATAATATAGCAAAATATTTAAATGTGTTAAGATAAGCCTGTTAGAATTATATACTGTATGTTATATAATGTAATGATGAATTAAAAAAATATACTTATGCGTCACGTGAGCAGCTCCTAGTAATGTTCTACTTGTTATCAACGTGCAAGATCCTATATGATGTGGAGGGGATATATTCCAATAATATTTCTCGAAAATAGCCACCTGAAAAGTAAAAGTTTGTTTAGTTTTTTTTTGTTTCTCATCTAAATAATAATAGCAGCCACCACAATCAATGCCGACTAATTATTATGTACAAAGAAAATCAAATTTTCATTTATTGTTTCATATTAATTATTTTATTGAGAACAATTTTGATAGCTTTTACGAAACTCTATATTGTTCTATAAAAATTTTTTAATCATTTGCAGTATAAACAGGGCTTGAAAAAACACTTGGACATATTGGACATCAAGCAGAAATGAGAGATTATACAATTTATTGTTACATATTGGAATGACTCATATGCAGATTCAGAAAGAACGATTAATTAATCAGAACAATAGAAATTTCTCGATATTTCAAATTTATCCGCGAATTTCTTATAAACGACATGACCAGAAATATTTACCACCATTATGTCAAGTTGTAAAGATACGTTATTTTGCTTAACGTATCGTATGTACGGAAGTTTTATGCCTTGAATTCTATGCAATAGAATGTACTGTAAAGTTTACTTACAATTTCGAGATTTCTTGAAATTTTAAGTAAGAATATAACAGAAAAGCACGCAGAATATAATAGTAAGCACGGGATGAACTAGAAATGTTGCAGTGATGTATTCGTCTACGTAAATCCACTACTTATTTATCACTCGTAGCGTTTTTGCTTATTTTGAATTTTTGAAAGTTTAAAATTATCTTAAAAATAAAATTTGTTTACGTCGTTTTACGAAGAGTTCAAATAAAACACGAGTTAAATTAGAATTTGAAAAATAACCCGTCGGTTCAAACGAATTAAATCAACAAGTAATGCGTGAAGAAAATTGATTTTAAACTGAACTCGCGATTTATTTCTTACTCGAGATGGAGAATACTGCCATTAGAAATACATTTTCATGTTAATCAAGTCTTTACATCTACCGTGTTAATTGTTTAATTGGATTTTTATTTTCTGGAAGATTTTTAACGATTTCGTGAAACACCGGTTGACACCTACCGTTATAAAGCGTATTAAATAAATTCATTCAAAATTTCCAATGATTTCGTAAACTTTGAGATGCAGAAAAAAAGACTTTATGAGATACCAAGAAAAAACAGCTTGCAAAGAAGGATATATATATTTAAATCTGACATTTATCGAAACACTTAACTCACCATAAACGGATAGTCATTAATGTGGGCCAGGGTAGCACCAAACATTCTTTTTGAAATTGCTATATATGATATAAATAAGTAAAATTAGTTATCACAAATGAATAATAATAAGGAATTAAATATATTTGAGTTTTTGTTACTATTTGTTTCATTTTTCTGTGCATATGCATCCGTGAACACAATCAAAACACATACGAAAATAATTAGGAATCGCTTATTTAAAACTCTATAATGAAAATTAGCAACAGAATTAAGCACAAGTAAAGTCACTTTTTATATCTACTTTGCATATAAACGAATTTTTCCATTTATTTCTATTGCACTTACTTCAGAAAATGCTTTCCTTTTGCCATTATGACACACAAATAGTATGTTAGCATGTGACTAAATTATAAGTGGGGTTTATTTATATACAGCACATTTTAGTAGCTTATTATAAAATCATTGTTATAAAGCAATATTTACAATTATTATTATTTTAATCTAATTTAAAAACAATTAGTAGTTGGTAACATTTATCATACTAATCATTAAACTTTTGAATTATTAAAAAAATAATTTGAACTACTTTACTGGAAAATTTCGTTGACTTGATTACTACTTTTTTTTTATAACTGATAAAACAACACTTGTTTAACAAAGGATGTACTTTTTTTACTACTTACACATTTATTTTTTTGGAAATATATAATAGAGTGGCTTTCGCCTTTAAACACTAAGATACTTATAAAAACTTGGGTTCTTAAACGACACTTACCTTTTATTATTTAATCATCATATAATTTTTATAACACTCCTCTCTACCCTCAAAATTCAGTAGTTTGTCATTTTGTAATAATGAAATTTTATGATAAAAACATTTTTTTTATAACAGATGATGCCACACATAATTTATTGATTAATGGCATCAGTAATAATTTAAATATTATTTTTTAAATAAAATTTCTTAACAACTGTGAAAGTTGCATAATTCGGTGCTGGGTTTTTACAAGACAGACAAAAAGAATATATCAGAAACCTTAAATAAAATGTAATATTGGTTTCGTGCTAGGTTGTGTAAAAGATTTCAAGAAACAATTTATTCAGAACACATCCTCTAATTTTTTTAAACGCTTCTTTTTAGGAAACAGATTTTTAACATTGTAAAACTATTTTTCCTACATTATATTTATAAGAAAAACATTTATGTTAATAACTCATTTTATTCAGTTTCTCTGTAAATTAATGCCATATAGTTTCTGTAGTAGTTAAATCTGTGAAGAGAGGAAAAAGCGAATGAGAAAGGTTT